GGTGCCATGCAATGGTAGGCGGTGCCATGCAATGGTAGGCGGTGCCATGCAATGGTAGGCGGTGCCATGCAATGGTAGGCGGTGCCATGGAATGGTTGGCGGTGCCATGCAATGGTAGGCAGTGCCATGCAATGGTAGGCGGTGCCATGCAATGGTAGGCGGTGCCATGCAATGGTAGGCGGTGCCATGCAATGGTAGGCGGTGCCATGCAATGGTAGGCGGTGCCATGCAATGGTAGGCGGTGCCATGCAATGGTAGGCGGTGCCATGCAATGGTAGGCGGTGCCATGCAATGGTAGGCGGTGCCATGCAATGGTAGGCGGTGCCATGCAATGGTAGGCGGTGCCATGTAATGGTAGGCGGTGCCATGCCATGGTAGGCGGTGCCATGCAATGGTAGGCGGTGCCATGCAATGGTAGGCGGTGCCATGCCATGGTAGGCGGTGCCATGCAATGGTAGGCGGTGCCATGCAATGGTAGGCGGTGCCATGCAATGGTAGGCGGTGACATGCCATGGTAGGCGGTGCCATGCAATGGTAGGCGGTGCCATGCAATGGTAGGCGGTGCCATGCAATGATAGGCGGTGCCATGCAATGGTAGGCGGTGCCATGCATTGGTAGGCGGTGCCTTGCAATGGTAGGCGGTGCCATGCAATGGTAGGCGGTGCCATGCAATGGTAGGCGGTGCCATGCCATGGTAGGCGGTGCCATGCAATGGTAGGCGGTGCCATGCAATGGTAGGCGGTGCCATGCAATGATAGGCGGTGCCATGCCATGGTAGGCGGTGCCATGCAATGGTAGGCGGTGCCATGCAATGGTAGGTGGTGCCATGCAATGGTAGGCGGTGCCACGCAATGGTCGGCGGTGCCATGCAATGGTAGGCGGTGCCATGCAATGGTAGGCGGTGCCATGCAATGGTAGGCGGTGCCATGCAATGGTAGGCGGTGCCATGCAATGGTAGGCGGTGACATGCCATGGTAGGCGGTGCCATGCAATGGTAGGCGGTGCCATGCAATGGTAGGCGGTGCCATGCAATGATAGGCGGTGCCATGCAATGGTAGGCGGTGCCATGCATTGGTAGGCGGTGCCTTGCAATGGTAGGCGGTGCCATGCAATGGTAGGCGGTGCCATGCAATGGTAGGCGGTGCCATGACATGGTAGGCGGTGCCATGCAATAGTACGCGGTGCCATGCAATGGTAGGCGGTGCCATGCAATGGTAGGCGGTGCCATGCAATGGTAGCCGGTGCCATGCCATGAGCCCTCTCTTGCTCACTCCCATGAGGTTACATTGTATCGATTCAAACAGTGTCATGTGGCATTGTAATGAGGCGACTTGTGACTCTGAGTCGACTCAAATCAAAGGTCCTTCTCACCTTATCCATGGCGTCTGTTAGCCATGCCATCAGCCCTCTCTTGCTAGTTCCCATGAGCACAAAGCCTTCCACCTGTCCCATGCCAACCCACACATGCCATGCCACACATGCCATGCCACACATGCCATGCCACACAAGCCATGCCACACATGTCATGCCACACATGCCAACCCACACATGCCACGCCACACATGCCAACCCACACATGCCATGCCATACATGCCATGCCACACATGCCAACCCACACATGCCATGCCATACATGCCATGCCATATCCTATTTCATGCCACACATCCCATTTCACCATGCCATTGTATTTAAATTGTGGCGACAACCCTCGTAACCAGAGCAAGCCAGCATGCAACATAACTAGAGCAAGCCAGCATGCAACATAACTAGAGCACAGGGCAGGTGGGGACAGGGCAGGTGGGGACAGGGCAGGTGGGGACAGGGCAGGTGGGGACAGCAAGCAGACAAGCACTGACCGGGAGGTGGGGGAGGATCTCCCTTGAGGCGAGGTGCAGCGCATCCATTCCCCTCACAATGGACTTGGCCATGGGTGCCGCGAGATGCCACTCTAGGTGCTCTGGATGCGCCAACGCCATGGCAAAGCAGACTGGGTGGGATAGAGCAGCACGCATGGATGGATGGATGAGCATGGGCATAGCATAGTATGAGTTGCTGTTCAATCATATATGTTCATGCATGATAAAGAAAACAAGAAACTAACGACCTTTATGGGAATGTTCATGTGATCAACGCACCAATGGGAATGTTTCCAGCAACGTTGCTGATCCTATATATGTGTGCAGCAGCAGGTTATGATGCATTCATATTAACGCACTCACTTCAACACATATCGTCATGACCTCACCCCCATACCATCATCACCTCACTCACACGCCACGCCGTCACCTCACTCACTCACACCCCATCACCTCACTCGCTGATTCATACACCATCGTCTCACACTCTCACACGCCACCACCTCTCACTCACTCACTCACTCACACTCCATCACCTTACTCACTCACTTATTCACTCACTCACTCACTCACTCACACAGCATCACCTCACTCACTCACTCACACGCCATGAGCTCGTCTTCTAGCAGCTAATCAAACTTGCCTGGCCCGTTCGGCCCCACATGGAATGACATTGGCTGCATTGGCTGCTGATGTAGCACCGCTCCCAAGATCCCAAGCTCCACCACCAGGCTGCCACGTGGCATAGCATGGATCATGCAGAAGAGCAGCGGATATAGGGGGGTGGGATACGTGGTGGCGGGTGATGCGATAATGTATCTTCCAACGGGCTTCAAAAGTATTCGGGAGTCACCAGCGTCACTACCAAGCTACCAAGTGCTGCTCACTAACAGATGAAACTAAGAGGGAGTTAAGAAGATCACAGTCAATGTAAGTAACATCATCATCACATCACATGAAACGTTTGCTTGACCTGACCAGCTGTCTGTCACCTTCGCCTACTTCCCCGTGATAATATGTGTGTGTGTGCCACTCCCATCCCATGCCGCGTGTCCGCCTCACCTGATCTTGGCGCCAAGCCCTTCCCTCATGCCACGCCCATGGCTTCGATTCCAAACTGCTCCAGCTATCGTGCACAGAAGCAGAGCAGCAGGTTGCTGCCATAAGCCATCATCCCATCCATGGTTTCAATGCAATACGTGGAGGAGGGACCATATGGGTCGACGATTCAGCTTAACAGTCCCCTTGTCGTCACGCCAAGCCCTTCCGTCAAATGCATGCTTGCACTTGTCCAGGAGACGAACCCTCGCGCCCCAGCAGCAGCAGCAGCAATGCCGGGCGAATACAGCACGTACGGGGCGAAGGCAGCACGTACGGGGCAAAGGCAGCACGTACGGGGCGAAGGCAGCACGTACGGGGCGAATGTAGCTGTGAACATTTCGTGCTGATCAGGCGGGGAGTGGAAGTGCGACCACTCCGGCCCGATGATGAATAGCACCACGCCCTTGTGCGCGCTGTGCATGTCGCCCGGCGCCTGTGGGATTCGTGTGTGGCGTGGCGACAAGGAGGAGAGAACCACGCATGGAGCGCCTCAAACTGGCCCATGTGCGCGTTGTCAGGCGCCTGCGCAGAGGGGTGCATTGAGATGGGGGTTGCAAAAGGGACTGCTGAGTTGAGCATTGAGAGAGGGGGTGCCAGAAGGGACTGGTTAGTTGAGTTGAGTCGACTCTGACCCGATGATGAACTTTTGAGTCGATTCAAAAGTCACCTCAGCACCATCACCAGGCCTTTGTGCGCGTTGTGCGTGTCTGCATGTTGTCGGCAGGTCACATGAGTGATGAACGCGCACTCAGAAGGGAAAGAACCATCTCAAAAATTTCGGGTCTATTTCCGGGCGTTAACATCCATACTTTGGTTGTAAACAATGTATTTATGCCCAATAATTGCCCGGCTGTAAATAAGGCAGACTTTAGCCGTTTTCGGGTCGATAATTGCCGGACCGTTAATTACCGGGGATGGCCCTTATTGGCTGTAAATCAGCATGGCACCGGGGTCAGAGTTCTCCACTTACTGGGGTTGAAATGGCAGTGAACCAGAGTGCCATTCACAGTTGTTTCTAGTTCTGATAAAAAAAGCCAAATTGTCCTTGTTTACAGTCATTCAAAAGCCACCATAACTAGGCCTGAACTTCCTGAAAACACCCAATCATTAACTAATGATAGCACCCTAATAATAGTAATAAAAAACAATGTGATTATCAAATTACTGTAGAAAATTTGAGCATACATTAGAGCAGCAAAACTACAATTAGAAAACCAGGGTTCATGGCAGCAACCCAGCAAACTCGTCCTCAAACCCTGCGATCACAACACGCACTAACGGGTTTGCTCCCATCTGAAAGCCTGCAGGGGCACTGTCGCAATAGATATTATCCCCACGGGATAACCTATCCTTAATCCAATCAATAATCACCCCCACTTTCAGCTGCACTTCCCTCCTGTTGTTCGAGTCACTGCCATCTAGGGCAGGCGTGTCACGGCTCCCCGCATTTGCCATGGGCCATTCAACCTGCAGGGTACATTTGAAAATATATGGGAAAATGGGGAGCAGGGACAGAGAGGGTGTGTTGGAAAAAATCAGGACGGTGAGGGACAGGTGCATAGCAAAATGGGGAGCAGAGAGAGAGAGAGGGTGTGCTCAAGCAAAACCTGAATCGTTGGCAAGGGAAACAAACAATGCAAGGGAAACAAACTCACCAAATGGCAAATCGTTGCCACCACTGGGATCTTGGCAAACATCGTCTTACACCTGCGACCGCCAAGTCCCTTGCAGAGCGCCATATCAAACGCCTTGTTGGCGAACGGGCGCCCTGTGTCAGGATCGCAATGCCACTTGCTGCCATAAACGGCTGCAAGCACAGAAATCCGCTCGATGTAAGCACAATACATGTGGATCTTAGGAAAAAAACGGCTGGAAGTGCTCGGGGCATGCAACGTTAAAACGAGCCGAGTACTTACGATCGAAATAGAAAAGGTGCCACTGCTGGACGTTGCGGCGCTGCACCGGCGCCATGTTCTCAGCAGCCAGCATGGGAATCTTCGATTCCGTGACGAACCTGCCTGGCCCATGTGCCCACGTCTTGACCTACGTGAAGAGGTTGCCCCTACGCTCGCCGACCTTGTCTTTAAGAATCCTCTCCCGTTCCGGGTGAGAGTTCATGACAAGGTTGAACGTTTCCTCAGAAACGTTCACCAGCTGATACGTACGGATGAGTTGCTGCCTCAACTCCTGCGGCTCAGGCCAGAAGTTAATCTCCCTCGGGGGAGCCTCAGCAATGAAGTAGAGAACCGCTTGGTTGCACTTTGCCTGCCATGCACAAGACGGAAATGCAAAGTGCAAGATATCGGTTGAAGGCAAGCATGTATGGATCCGTGGCTCTACCAACCAAGCATCGGTTGCGAGGGTGGATGGGTGGGAATATAAGGTTGCGAGCAAGAGTCAAGGTACAGAAGGTACGGGGGTGGGTGGGCGGGAATACGAGGTTGCGAGCATAGGATCAAGGTACGAGGGTGGGTGGGTGGGAATACGAGGTTGCGAGCGGAACATTGAAGGTATAAACGTATGACAGGCGGCGGGTACTCAGAATCAATGCGCACGGCTTACCGTGAAAAATGTGAGCTCGGTAAGCGATTCCGGAAGCTTGGTCGAAGGTTCACGAGCATTTGGTCGAGGTGCTGGGGTTCCCGGATGAGCGAGGGGGGTGCCAAGGGAGCGAGAGGCGTTTGGCGCGAGCAGCGCAGGAATCACGGAGGTTGCCAGCGATCGTCCGACTGCCCCAGGTGCGACAGCAGGCGCCAGAGTTGAACGGTGATCGTTGAGGCCTCGCAAAGTGCTTGCAACGTTGACGGGCAGCGCGGAAGACGTTGAGGCCGGCCTGCTTGCCTGGAGCAATTGTTTCGCCCGCTGACTCTCCTCCAGTTGCCGCCGAACTTCCGCCAATGTCTCCTGCTGCAACTCGACCGTGCGCTGCTGATCAGAAGCTGCAGCCTGGGCTCTGTCGACAGGCTGAACAACTTCTGCAAAACACCATGCATATCACATCACAATCATACGGGCACCATACACCACAAACACGTAACACGTTAAAATATGTCAGGCGTCCACCTCTGCAAAAAAGTAAAAGAATGGCGGGTGTCTCATATAAGTACCTTGCATGTTGCTGTGAATGGCAAGACACGGGCAGAAACGGTTTACGATAAAAAAACCTTATACATCCTCACCTTTCCGTTTCGTCTGGTGTTTGCGCTTCTGCTTCGACGTAGAGTTAGGAGCACCGCCATGCATAGTAGCAACGGAACCCTTCTTGCGCCTAGGGAAGGAGCGGTCGTCGTCACCGCTGTCGTCGTCGGCCTCGCTTTCGCCACTGACGTTTTCGTCCGCATCGTCCGCTGCTTCTAGCGCCGGCGAAAGTGTGACCGGCAAGTTACCGCCAGCAGATCCAGCGTCTAGTATTGGGTCTACCTCGGGCTCTAATGGCAAAACGCGACCTACGTTAGCCTTGTCAGCACCGTGCTCGTCCGACGACAGCTGGTCGTTGACGAGATCTGGTGCGACGAAGTTGGCAGAGTCAGAAGTGGAGGAGCTCTTGCGGGTGAACTCAGCACTAACTTGAGAGAGCAAAATTTGAAGTTGCTCAGGCGACATCCCATGCAGATTTAGGGTCGAGTTGTCAGGCTGGTTACCGGCTGAACCTTCATTCGCAGCCGTAACAGAATGTCTTCGCCCAGGTAACGTAACACCAAGTGCGCCATTATTGTACCTTGCAGGCACCACAACGGGTCTTTGAGGGCGGCCTGGAGGAGGATCATTTCCAGGAAGGGTAATAGGGCGTTGGTTCACCATCTCGGAAGAAACAAAAACTTGGGTTTGAGCTGAATAGTCGCACAAACCATATTCCTACAATCGTTTGCAGCTGAGAAAAATTGGCGGGGAGCTCCTGATTGGTCGTCGAAAGTGGTTGGAAGTCGCTGGGGCGATTGGTCGAGCTCTGTACCAAGCGACATCGTTGCTGTTGCAGCGCGACATGAGCAATATCGCACACCCTCACCGTGGGCTCACGACGAATCGCGATACCGCACTGCAGTCAGTTTTCGTGGAGGTGACCACGGTACATCCTCCACGTGGACCTAGACGAAGGTATTCCAGCAAACGTGGCGACTCCAACTCAAAAGCAGGGGAAACACGGTGACTGTATTAGCTGGAAACATGAGTTTTAGGGAAACGATTTCAAGCGCACGTCACTCCCTTCTCCCACAAAGTAGGTACACGATTGTGGTGCCTGCTATTTCAAAATCTGTACAACAATCAGTACTCAATATATACAAATATACAAAAAAAAACCATCAAAACAGAAAATGGTTGAGGAACCATGTCTGGCCTGCAGACTCAAGCTGCACAAATTGAACAGCTCTAAGAATGGAAGCTGTCTCTACAACCATGTACCTTTGAGAAACCCCTTCTAAACTGAATTGCCGGCAGCCAGTCAATTCATCTAACGCGTCATGCTCGATATAATACAAATGCGAATTCGCGTCGATCTAGACCATGGCCGACATGGAATAGTAGCAGAACCTTGCCGTGCAACTCTGATCCTGTACCTTGGATAACAACATCACTGAACCAAACTTTCTTGTGGAATAGCGGAACCGCTCGGATACGGTGTGTGTCAGAACATTATAGCTTATATATATGTGTAGGCTATAGTGGGGTATCCCATAGGGGGTACAACCCAATCAGGGTTTCCTATATGTACTCACTTCATTCATAGTTCATTCATTCTCGTTCTAGTTTCTTTCTCATGGTTTCAGAGCGGTTACGCTCTCGGCCTGTGGGTACTACTGCTTCCGCTGCTACATGCTCTGTCGCACGCCCCGTGGCGTGCGACGCACGCGCGGCGATTTGCACTTTGGCGCGCGCCTCGGGGCGCGCGACCTCTTTCTTTTCTGGCGCGCCGCCCGTCCCGGCCCTTAGCCGCCCGTCCCGGCCCTTAGACGCCCACGCGCCGCCCGTCCTGGCCCCTAGCCGCCCGCGCGCCGCCCGTCCTGGCCCCTAGCCGCCCGCGCGCCACCCGTCCTGACCGCGCGCCGCTGCTCCAGCCCATCGACGCCCGTGAGCCGCCCGTCCCGGCCCCACGCCGCCCGTGCGCCGCCCGTCCCGGCCCCACGCCGCCCGTGCGCCGCCCGTTCCGGCAGCGCGCCGCCGTCCCGGCCCGACGCCGCATGTGCACCGCTCGTCCCGGCCCCGCGCCGTCGTCCCGGCCCCCACTCCGCCCGTGCGCCGCCCGTCCCGGCCCCACGCCGCCCGTGCGCCGCCCGTTCCGGCAGCGCGCCGCCGTCCCGGCCCCACGCCGCACGTGCACCGCCCGTCCCGGCCCCGCGCCGTCGTCCCGGCCCCCACTCCGCCCGTGCGCAGCCCGTCCCGGCCCCACGCCGCCCGTGCGCCGCCCGTTCCGGCAGAGCGCCGCCGTCCCGGCCCCACGTCGCCCGTGCACCGCCCGTCCCGGCCCCGCGCAGCTGCCCCGGCCCGTCGCCTGCTGCATTGCCGAGCCGCCCACCCCACCGAGCCACCAAGGAGCCCAGCAGCCGAGCCGTAGCCGAGCCGCTGAGCAGCCCAGCAACCGAGCCGCAGAGCAGCCGAGCCGCCCGAGCCGCTCGAGCCGCCCGAGCCGCCCGAGCCGCCCGAGCCACCCGAGCCGCCGAGCCGCCGAGCCGCCCGAGTCGCCCGAGCAGCCGAGCCGCCCGGGTCGCCCGAGCCGCCGAGCCGCAGTTGCTGCAGTGCCACCGTGCCGCCGAGTCGCCGAGTCGCCGAGTCGTCGAGCCTGCTCTTCCCACCACTGGTGAGCCCCTGCCTTACTAGCGCGCTGCCTGCAGCTTGCTTGGCTGCCTGCCTTACTGCTGCTACTCCTGCTCCTGCTTCTACTGGCGGCGGCCAGATGCAGCTCCAGCGACGCCCACGCGCGTCTCTCACGCCCCAGCAGCTTCGTGAGTGGTACGCTCACAGTAGAGGGTCTCTCAGTTCTGTTCGCTGCTCTTACGTGATTCGCACTGGTGCTCAGACTAGTCAGCCTTGTGGGACGCCTAGTCATACACCGTCCCGCTGCTTCGCCCGTCTGAATGACGCATGGCGTACCGAGTTTGACGACGAGGCTGAGCTCCCCGACTGGGTGGAGTTGCTTAGGCAGAGGGTAGATATATTTTCTCTTGACTATGATGCTATTCTCACTGCCATGTATGCATTGCCTACTAGTGCTGACCGTGCCGGTCACCTGTGCGTACCGCCTGACCCGGGTATAGAGCCTGCTGCTCTAGCTGCTGGTGCGGCTGCTGCTCTGGGTGCTAGTGTGTCTCCTGCTCCAGGTACTGGTGCGGCTGCTGCTCTAGGTGCTAGTGAGTCTGCTTCCTCAGGTGCGGGTGAGTCTGCTCTCTAAGGTACCGCGTCGGCTCCGGCCTCTCACACCTTCACCCTTGACTCGGGGGCTTCCCGCTCCTTCTTTCGAGACCGCACCACACTCACGCCGTTTGGTCGGCCAGTTGCAGTCTCTCTGGCAGACCCCTCTGGGGGCCCTGTCCTTGCTCACTTCTCCACTGTCCTCCCGTGTCCGGCGGCCCCCTCTGGCACCCTGTCTTGTCTTTACCTCCCCTCGTTCTCTACAAACTTGGTGAGTGGTGCTGACCTGCAGGATGCAGGGGTTCACCAGTTCACTCCTGCGAGTCAGCGGGTGACCCACTGCACAGACGCTCAGACAAGCCGACACCTGGCCACGTTTACTCGTCGGTCGGGGTCGAGCCTGTACACACTGACCACTGCGTCTCCTCCAGTTACTGAGTCTGGTAGGGTAGCTGCGTCAGGTCAGGTGTTTGCTGCAGCGTCCAGGTCTGGTCCTGAGTCTGCCCCCTGTTCGTGTCGTCTCCTGTCTCACGAGACTCTCCTCTGGCACCACCGCCTTGGTCACCCCTCTCTGCTTCAGCTCAGAGGCATGGCCTCTCGTCTTCTTGTTTCTGGTCTCCCCGGGTCCCTCCCTCCCCTTCCTCAGGGCCCTGGCCCTACCTATGTCCCCTGTGTCGAGGGGCGCCAGCGTGCTGCCCCTCACTCCTCCCAGTTTCCTCTGACAGAGGCCCCATTGCAGACGATTCACATGGACGTGTGGGGCCCAGCCCGCGTCCGTGGACAGGGTCACGAGCGCTACTTCCTGCTAGTTGTTGACGACTTCTCGCGTTACACCGCAGTCTTCCCCTTGCGCAGCAAGGGTGATGTCACTAAGGTGCTGATCGACTGGATCCGCGCAGCTCGTCTCCAGCTCAGGCAGAGCTTTGACTCGGACTTTCCTGTTCTGCGTCTGCACTTGGACAGAGGCGGAGAGTTTTGCTCTGGCCTTCTGAGAGCCTACTGTTGCGCACGGGGCATCCGACAGACCTTCACGCTTTCGGACTCTCCGCAACAAAATGGGATTGCTGAGCGCCGCATTGGCATGGTCATGGACGTCGCTCGTACGTCTATGATGCATGCGGCTTGCCCCCATTTTCTGTGGCCGTTTGCTGTGAGGTACGCGGCGCATCAGATCAACCTTCACCCCAGGGTCTCCAGGCCGGAGACCTCCCCAGCCTTGCTGTGGACGGGGAAGGTTGGCGATGCGTCGGCGTTCCGGGTCTGGGGATCTCAGGCATTTGTCCGCGACTTGTCTGCGGACAAACTGTCCCCTCGTGCTGCTCCTTGCGTCTTCCTGGGGTTCCCCCCTGACGCGCCTGGGTGGCGGTTCTACCACCCCACCTCTCGCCGTGTTCTGTCCTCCCAGGACGTCACGTTTGACGAGTCGGTCCCCTACTACCGCCTCTTCCCCTACCGCACTCCGTCCCTCCCCCCGCCCCCGCTCTTCCTTGTACCACGTCCCCCCCAGGTAGACCCCCTCCCCCCTCAGGGTCCTGCCCCTTCAGGTGTGTCCCAGGTAGACGCAGTCGAGCCTGTCGAGGTCGCTGGTGACTATGTTGCTGCTGAGGGTGCTGAGCCTGGGGGTACTGGGCCTGGGGGTGCCGGGCCTGGGGGTGCTGAGCCTGGAGGTGCTCCGCTTGGAGGTTCTCCGGGTGCTTCGTCTCGCAGGGAGCCACTCTCTCCACAGGAGCTGCGCGAGTGGTTTGCCCGGCGCTGGAGCCGTTCTGCAGGTGCAGGAGGTTCGTCGGCTACTGAGGGTGTTGCTGTCGCGGGTCCCGGAGGTGCTCGTCCTGGGAGTACTGGAGCTGCTGGGCCTGCAAGTTCGAATGGAGCTGGTGCTGCTGAGGGTCTTGGCGCTAAGACTACCACTGGCGGTCCTGCTGGGGGTGCTCTTGGTGCTGCTGGAGGTTCAGGAGCTGCTGGAGGTGCTGCTGGGGGTTCTGGAGCTGCTGAAGGTGCTGCTGGAGGTGCTGGAGCTGCTGGAGGTGCTGTTGGAGCGGGTACTCCTGCTGGGGGTCCTGGTGCTGTCCCTGCTGTCTCTGGCGTCGCCACGCGGCCTTGACCGTACTTCGTTCCACTCCTGCAGCAGGTTCTTGGTCTTACACCTTCTACTGGTCCTCCTCCTCCTCCCTTAGAGGGTCCATAGCCTGTCCAGTCACAGTCACAGCTACAGCCTGCCTCCCCTTTGCCTGCTCCTTCTCCCTACGCTGGTCCTACTGGAGGTCTTACTGAGCATCGTGAGCCTGCGTCTCGTCCTGCGTCGCCTGTTCGTGCTGCGCGCACTAGTGGTCGCGGTTCGCGTCAGCGTCCTCCTCCTGTCCCTGGCACGCACCGGATGTCTCTGCGTCCGTCCACTGCTCCTCTGCGTGCCCCTTTGCCTTCTCCTCCTGCGTCCTCTCTTCCTGCTCTTGCCGACCCAGAGTCGGACTCTCTTCGTGCTGCCAGTCCTACTATCACGCGTCTCCTTGCTACTGTCGTCACTGACCCCTCTTTCGAGTCTACTGCTGCGTCTGCCCTTGTTACTGAGCTCTTCGACTTTGCTGCTCGCTGTCGCCTAGACTACGCTGCTAGTCTTGTCGCTGGGTCTGAGTCTGTCTGTCCTCCGTCCGTCGGGGGTGAGTGTGCCCTTGGCACGGACGTCCTTGAGGACAGGCAGGAGGAGTTCCAATGTCTAGCCGCTGCTTCACCTCATCTCGTGTCCGTACTGCTTACCCCTGAGGGAGACCCGGATGCACTTGACATCCCGACTCCGCGCTCTTACGCGGAGGCGATAGAGGGTCCCTACTCCTCTCAGTGGCAGGCAGCTATGGATGCAGAGATGGCTTCCTGGAAGTCCACAGGCACCTACGTTGACGCTGTCCCCCCTCCTGGGGCGAACATCGTCAGTGGCATGTGGATTTTCAGGGTGAAGCGGCCGCCGGGTTCTCCGCCTGTCTTCAAGGCGCGCTACGTGGCTCGTGGCTTCAGTCAGTGGCAGGGAGTTGACTACTTTCAGACCTTCTCCCCCACCCCGAAGATGACCACTCTTCGGGTACTGCTGCACGTTGCTGCTCACCGTGACTACGAGCTGCACTCTCTCGACTTCAGCACTGCTTTCTTGCAGGGTAGCCTGCACGAGGAGATCTGGCTGCGCCGCCCACCTGGCTTCACTGGGTCTTTCCCTCTTGGTACCCAGTGGAGTTTCCGGCGTCCAGTCTACGGTCTCCGCCAGGCGCCACGTGAGTGGCACGACACACTGAGGACTACACTTGCGGCACTTGGGTTTGCTCCTTCTACTGCCGACCCGTCGCTGTTTCTGCGCACCGACACCTCTCTGTCGTCGTTCTACATCCTCTTGTACGTCGACGACTTGGTCTTTGCCAGAGCTGACACTGCTGGACTAGCCTACGTGAAGTCTGAGCTGCAGAAGAGACACACGTGCACTCACCTGGATGAACTGCGCAGCTACCTTGGCTTGCAGATCACCCGGGACAGAGCACGCCGCACCATTACCCTGACTTAGTCACACATGGTGCAGCAGGTCCTTCAGCGCTTCGGCTTCATGTACTCCTCGCCTCAGGCCACTCCTCTGCCTACTCGCCACTCGCTCTCAGCTCTGCCTTCGGATGAGTCCGTAGAGTCGAGTGGCTCGTATCCAGAGCTTGTTGGCTGCCTCATGTACCTGATGACCTGCACACGACCTGACCTTGCATACCCTCTTAGCATTCTCGCACGCTATGTTGCTCCTGGGAGACACCGACCAAAGCACATGGCTGCAGCGAAGAGGGTGTTGCGCTACTTGTGCAGTACGTCGGGCATGGGGCTAGTGCTTGGAGGGCGGAGTCCAGTGGTCCTCACTGGGCACGCGGACGCCTCTTGGGCTGACGACCAGGCTACGCAGCGGTCGTCACAGGGTTACACTTTCAGTCTTGGTTCCAGCTCTGTTTCGTGGCGGGCTACCCGCTCGTCTTCTGTTCTTGGCTCTAGTTGTGAGGCTGAGATCTACGCCGGGGCTATGGCTGCCCAAGAGCTTCGCTGGCTCACCTACCTGCTGACCGACCTTGGAGAGCCGCCTCGTTCTCCTCCAGTCCTGTACGTAGACAACAAGGCCATGCTGGCCTTGTGTCGAGAGCAGCGGCTGGAGAACAGAACAAAGCACATTGCTCTCTGCTACTTTCTTGCTCGTGAGCTACAGCAGCGTGGACAGTTGCGGCTTGCGTACGTGGCCTCTGAGGCCAACACTGCTGATGTCTTCACCAAGGCACTTGCGCCTTGTGATCATCAGCGCTTCTGCACTCAGCTGGGTCTTGTGCCTGTCTTGCCTCACTTGCTCACTTCTTGACCTTGCTTGTACTGTCACATATATATACTCTTGCTCTTGCTTGCTTAGCCTCTTGTGTATATATATATGTGATCTTGCATGTGAACTGGCCTTCTGGCCTTTGAACTTGTGCTCGGAATGTGTGGTGACTTTGTGATCCACCCTGAGCTTTGCTTTGCTTTGCTTGACTGGTCTTGTGACCCCTGTTCTCCCCCACTTTGCCTATGGGGGTGTATCAGAACATTATAGCTTATATATTTGTGTAGGCTATAGTGGGGTATCCCATAGGGGGTACAACCCAATCAGGGTTTTCTATATGTACTCACTTCATTTATAGTTCATTCATTCTCGTTCTAGTTTCTTTCTCAGTGTGGGGTGCTAGAAAAAGCCTCGTCCGTCGCGGGTGGCATGGCCAACTCAACATGAACCTGTACAGCAGTTGTGTGCCACATATTGCATCATTAGTAAAGGCATAACGTAATTGTGGCCGGGCGTGCAACAAAAAAATGCGTGCTAATGGTAACGTACGTTAATTGTGTCGATGTTTGGGCCGTTGGGTACGTCGTGATCGATGGATTGACGAAGATAAGGGAGGTCCTTATGTAGGCTGTCCAGATACAATTGGTCTCGCTTTTGGTCAGGCTTGGAGAATCCGACGTATGGGTGCTCGCGACGACGCGCGTGAACGATCAACCCCCATGAACTCTTAGAGAGTGTACGTGCTCTCGTCTTCAATGCCTGTACAAAGTTCATAAAAAAATCAGACTGGTACCATCCTTCAACATGAGAAAAGTATGGATTGATTGTCACTGTAATATATACGTACCTCACGCATTGCATTACTGTATTCGTGTGTAGTTTCCAAGTCGGCTTGAGGTAGCGAATCGAGTTGCAAGCGTACCTCCTCTGCTTGGATGATTTGTCCACCCGCTTCACGCTTGTTGGATGCACGGTATGGCCTCTTGATATGGTCCTTGTGAAAGTGCTCAAACATGCTTGCATCATAGTGGAGTGGAGGGCCTGCACGACGAATTGCGTCGATGTAGTGACTCATCAAATGGGTCTTGATAAATCCCCATTTGTAGAGAGGGAAGCTCTTTTTTAGAAGCTCAATTAACCTGCAAATACATTCACACAAGATGTAGTCAGGTCAAAGGGCATATTACAATTATGTATATGCAATTTAGAAAGCGTACGAACCTTTTGGATTGTTCCTCGAGTTTTGTCAAGGTTTCCTCGTCATAGTCTATCGTCTTCCCACACGTGTGATACCACTCGATGTATGCCACAACGGCGTCCATGTGTGGTTTCGCCACATAGTCTCAGATGAGGAAAGGAAGGATTTGCATGACAGACCTGTGCTCGTAAGCTTGGAACGAAGCACCTAGACGGAAATACTCTCCAGATGGTAGGCGCAAACCATCAACCCGACACGTCCACTTCAACTGCTTCAAGATGCTGCAATGAAGGAGAGAGAGATACATTAGTCTTATGCACTGTGGAACATTAGAAAGAATGGTGTTAAGCGATGTAACGTACTCGTCAATGGCGACGTGGTATTTTTGATCAATGACCCCTCTCAAGGCGGCAATAATGTGCTCCAGCATGCCAAGATCAGCCTGATGCATTAGGTCTGACATCACCGCCATATAAGGGCTGCCCCACGGTTCTGACTCGAAACGGAAGCCATGAAGCGCGCACTGCGTTGGGTTTAGAATGGCAGGAGAGTGTTGAGTGAAACATGACTAGTATATGACGCAAGAACAGTGGATGGTTTTGCACATACCTCTACATGATGAGTGCTGTAGGTTTGCGGGTGAGGCCCCCCTCGTTGCCGTGCAGAGACGGCCTTGTAGATGACATCTTGTTCTTCGGATGAGCGATATTCGTCTCTCTGCGTGATAGAGTCTAACTCAGTTTTGTGGACCTTGCATAAGGAACAGGGGTAGAATGTACCTAGAGACTTGGTGCAGGTGAGTTTGCACGTCTCTGGGTAGTCCGCCACATAGGTGTATAGTGCTGGGTAGGCCGTGAAAACGTGACCAGACTGGTCATGCACACGGGTCCCCCTGAAAAATCGAAATGTGGGCAACGGGGCAAAGAGGTAAGACAACTAGAGAGAAGGGAAGCATGGGCACAGCAATCCGAGAAGGAGGGTACGGGGATGAGAGGAGGGAAGTAAAGGACGCAAAAGGGCAGCGAGGTTGGAAGAATGCTAAGAGCAAAGCATGGGGCAGCAATCTGAGAAGGAGATGAGAGAGATGAGTAGGAGGGCAGTCACAGAAGCAAGGCCCATAGTGTTGAAAGGAAGTGCATCATGTGGCGAGCATGGCGAGCAGGATAGGTCAGGGATGAGTATGGGGGCACTTACACGTGTGAAGCATATTTCAATGGTTGAAGAACGAGGCGCAAGACATACTGGAAGATCTGCAGTCGGTCAACCGACGTGTACTCCGCCGGACACTCCGGTAACGTTGCAATGAGCGCATGCCCGTATGGCTTCCAGCGATCCTCATGATGAATGTTTCCCAATGACATGTAGATGGGATGCCCCTTAGCTTTTCCTCGGCCGTCAGCTATTGTCTCATCCGACGAGAGAATGAGAGTGGCAACGACGTCGTCGATGCCAAGGCGATCCTGTTGGGGGGTTGGAAGAAGGCTTCTGAGGGAGATACAAAGACAGGCTGTGAGGGGCTATAGTTACAGAGTTAAGGACAATGAGAGAGAGGGATGTGCTTGGGACAGACGGTGTAGCAAGTACAGGTTGGGAGGGGCTAGAATAACTGAGAGTGGGGCCAGATTATTGAAAGAAGCGCAGGGGAGAGAAGGAATGGCAGGGAGAGGTAGAGTGGTACTGGAAAACCAGAATGCGGGGCAAGGCGTGTGAGGGAAGCGCAGGGGAGAGAAGGAATGGCAGGGAGAGGTAGAGTGGGACTGGAAAACCAGAATGCGGGGCAAGGCGCGTGAGGGAAGCGCAGGGGGGAGACGGAACGGCAGGGAGAGGTAGAGTGGGACTGGAAAACCAGAATGCGGGGCAAGGCGCGAGAGGGAAGCGCATGGGAGAGAAGGAATGGCTGGGAGAGGTACTGGAAAACCAGAATGTGGGGCAAGGCGCGTGAGGGAAGCGCAGGGGAGAGACGGAATGGCAGGGAGAGGTAGAGTGGGACTAGAAAACGAGAATGCGGGGCAAGGCGCGAGAGGGAAGCGCAGGGGAGAGAAGGAATGGCAGGGAGAGGTAGAGTGGGACTGGAAAACCAGAATGCGGGGCAAGGCGCGTGAGGGAAGCGCATGGGAGAGAAGGAATGGCAGGGAGATTGTGGTATAGCAGAATGGGGAGCAGGGACATAGTGGGTGTGCTGGGAAAAATTAAGGACGGCCAGGGAGGGGCAGGGAAAGGCGGGCATGGCAGAATGGGGAGCAGGGAGAGAGGTGGTGTGCTGGAAAAAAATATGACGGTGAGGGAGAGGTCGGGAGAGGCGGGCTTGGCAGAATGACGAGTGCTGGACAAAATTAGGACGGTCAGGGAGGGGCAGGGAGAGCCTGGCATAGCAGAATGTGGAGCAGGGAGAGAATGGGTGTGCTGGAAAAACAGGGCGTTGAGGGAGAGGTTGGGAGAGGCGGGCATGGTAGAATGGGGAGCAGGGAGAGAGGCGCTGTGCTGGAAAAATATATGACGGTGAGGGAGAGGTCGGGAGAGGCGAGCATAGTAGAATCAGGACAGGGAGAGACGTGGTGTGCTGGAGAATTTTAGGATGGTTAAGGAGAAGTTGGGTGAGCCTGTTATAGCAGAATGGGGAGCAAGGAGAGGGAGGGTATGCGGGAAGAATTTAGGACGGTCAGGATAGGTGCATAGCAGAATGGGAGTAGGGGAGAGTGTGGGTGTGCTGAAAAACAATGAGGACGGTGAGAGAGAGGTTGGGAGAGGCGGGCATAGCAGAATGGCTAGCCGGGAGAGAGCGGATGTGCTGGAAATGCATCAAGATGGTGAGGGAGAGGTAGGGAGAGCAAGGCATAGCAGAATGGATAGCAGAGAGAGGGAGGATGTGCTGGAAACGCATCAGGATGGTGAGGGAGAGGTAGGGAGAGCCACGCATAGCAGAATGGATAGCCGGGAGAGAGGTAGTGTGCTGGAAAAAAATCAGGATGGTGAGAGAGAGGTAATGGGAGGTTGGCATAGCAGAATGGGGAGCAGGGAGAGAGGGGGTGTGCTGGAATATTTATGAACGGTCAGGGATAGGTGCAAAGCAGAATGGGGAGCCACTCACTTGCACGTCGTTCCAAAAATTGCCGGTTTCGGGGGCGTCATACACCCTCACGCCCCTCACTCTCTTTCTATGCGCACGTGTAACAAGCGGATGGCTAAGTCTTGGTTCACTCAACAAATCTTGTATGGCCTGCAAATGTTTGGCCATGTGGGAACGAGGGATTAGTGGGGCGCTAAAAAAAACATGAGCAAACACTCCAACATACCTTCAAGCTGTCACAGTACCAGAAGTTCAAGAATGCCTTTGTTCCAACGCGAGTGACCCCCTTCTTCCACGAACGGTCACGGTCAGCCACTCTCGATTGGACATGTCGGTACACATCTCGCGAAGATCTCCATTCCGCAACGTCCACCCACGATGCGCCTTCATGGCTAAGAATCTTAAATAATCTAGCTACCGAACGTTGAGATACACGCTCTTGGAGAATCCAGCGTGCCAATTCGTCCTTGAAGGAGAATGGAGCTGCGGGGCGCGGATTAGATCCGTTGGGAATATGAGAAACTTCGTCGATCCCACTCGAGTCACTCATGCGTGCCATGAATGCCTCCGGATCATCTGCGGCACGAGCGGCTGCCGCATCTACACCGTCCTCATCGGCTGGCTCATCAAACGTAGGTGGTACGAATACGTTTTCACTGCTGGAAGGACTCCACACGCGCCGACGTTGAGCGGGGGGTTGGATTGGTGGGGAATCTGACGCCTCTGCGCCTCTGGATGCAGCAGCTATTCTGCAAGCCGCACTACCTCTATGCGATTCTAGAGCATAATACACGTAGAAAGGCCTCGAACTACAGTCTGGGCATTCCATAGTGGCGGATGCAGGACTAATTTCTGTGTACTGAAGGCAAAAAGAAAAACAAAGCATGAGTGATTTGCATCAATATTATACTCCCCTGGTTGAGGTGATGTGAAGCGTGTGAACACTTTAGTTGTCGTGAGATGTAGTGCTGAGATTCAGGTTCAAGTCGAAGGGGTGTGCATTAGGGCGCGTCATTCTAGTATCATTCTGAATCGATACCCATCTCAACCGAATTATTTGTTTATTAAAGCGTTTACAATTGTGCAGCGTCGTATTGCACCGCATTCCCCCGAAGAAAAAGGACGGGCACTTACGAGCCGCGCATTTCACTCACACATGTCAAATCGCATCGGGAATTTTACACTTCGCGAATTTTGAACTTCGAGTGACGTTGCGACATTCCCGTTAGCCAATACGGTCGTTCAAAATATTTCGCCAGCGAAAAAGTGCTGTTTGGAGAACCGAATTGGATGCAACCAATAGGAAGAAACCACGCACTCCCAAAAAATATCACAGTGCGTTTTGACTTCGTATGACCCAGGCGTCACGAGATTTCAAGAACCGTGACATACACCTGCTTGCTTACGTACTCTAGAAACGGCTGTTTATGATCACGTTCTTGCAAACACCAAACACTGTGCGTCACAAAATCTTCCCGCACGAAGATGCCACGTTTTCTGGTTGCAAACACTAGGGTTTCGCCCAATAAATTATACACTCAATGACTAGTTCTGATTACAACGACAACATTACGCCAAATCAAAATCGATCTCAACCGCACGAAAAAAAGTTGGAGTTTGGGCCGTTGATGTGAAATATCACGGAGCGCAACACGATATCCTACGCTGCCACGGCTGATTCCCTGCCAAACACAAGTGAAAAACAGCCATAACAGAACCAAAAACGAGCATTTGCCACATCAGCCTGTGGATAGAAATTAACACCCCCTCCCCAAAGCCTGTGATATTCGAAATATTGCCACCACTGTTAACAGACGGTTCGGCATTTTTGAGATGACGACAAGTTTCAGGAAAGTTTACAATTTTCTTGATGGATGAAAAAAGAGTGGTAATAATAGGGATATTGATTAATTTGGAGAGTGATTCTGGGTGCGAGGGGGGAGGGGGGGCGGGGGGGGTGGGGGGGCATCGCAAAAACAGCGGGGGTGGAGGGGTAGTGTTTAGTTCAGCTGCTTCAAAGTTGCTTGGCGTAAACTGACTAAAGGGTTACGTCATACCTACCGTGGAGCTACTTTCAAGGTTGGCGCTTCGGGATTAAGCGGTAAGTCATAAACGTGAAGAGGGATTGAGATTGCGTGCAGGAGTTTCATTCGCTATCGATTCAAAGCTACGGAAAAGCTGCTCCTACCGAATTGCTTGTGCTTCGTGGATTTTGTGTTTTTGGGTTCGCCCATTTCGCCCAAGATGGGGTTACTGCAAGAATTCTCTCATGTTCTAATCCTCGCTGAGAAATCTCGCGTTCTGCTGTGCAGGGTTTTATTGTTGTACATTAAACGGCTGTGTCTGTAATCTATGAACTGTTAAAAAGGTACAAATTTGACAAATTCGATAATTGCGTTTTGCTGTTCGAAATCAACAATATAAACTACGAATGCTACCCTTTTTGTAGTTCATTTGTTGTCAGCACTGTCAGAATGTTATATGGCTTATACATTTGTGTAGGCTGTAGTGGGGTATCCCATAGGGGGTACAACCCAATTAGGGTTAGTACTTGTACTCACTTCTTTCATAGTTCAATCATTCCTGTTCACTGATTTCAACATGGTATAGAGCAGGTCCTTCCCAGGACCGATTTTTTAGGGCCCACCACTACCTACCTACCTACCTACCTACCTGCGCCCTAGGGCGCCTCGGTTTTCACGCCCCGGACGGCCCACACGCTCGCCTCTAGCGGCCCCCTTTCGGCCCTGCGATCGTCCCTAACGGCCCCGCGCTCGCCCTTAGTGGCCCCTTACGGCCCCGCGCTCGTCCCTAACGGCCCCGATCGGCCCCGCGCTCGCCCTTAGCGGCCCCTAACGGCCCCGCGCTGGTCCCTAACGGCCCCGATCGGCCCCGCGCTCGCCCCTAACGGACCCGATCGGCCCCGCGCTCGCCCTTAGCGGCCCCTTATGGTCCCGCGCTCGTCCCTAACGGCCCCGATCGGCCCCGCGCTCGCCCTTAGCGGCCCCTTACGGCCCCGCGCTCGCCCCTAACAGCCCCGAACGGCCTTGCGCTCGCCCCTAGAGGCCTCAAACGGGCCCGCCCAGAACGAGCCGCCCGACCCGAGAAGTCCGAACCGAGCCGCCCAGCCCGAACCGAGCCGCCCGAACCGAGCCACCCGACCCAACCGAGCCGCGCCACCCTTACCGAGCCGCGCCGCCCTACCTGAACCGAGCCGCGCCCCACGTACTGGACCGAGCCGCCCTATCTGAGTCCCTACTACTGCTATTACTGCTACTACCACTTTTACTCCTGCTACTGCTATGGCTAGCCCTCCTGTGCTAGCTTTCGATGCTGAGGGCTGCCCAGTGAAGTTCGAAACCTGGCTAGATGACCTACACCTCTTCCTACAGCTCACTGCCAAGGAAGACATCTCACTGTACGATCACGCCCTAGGCCATGCTACTGCTCCTGCTGCTACTGCTGACAGCACTGCTCGCTCACAGTGGCAGACTCGTGACGCCCACGCTCGCTTTGCTATTTGCAACTCCCTGCCGATAGATGAGCGCGAGCACTTTGGGCAGCACAAGACTGCACAGGCATTGTACACTGCTGTCGTTGCCCGCTACTCCTCACCGGCCTCTGCTGCACTAGGCCGTCTCTCTCTTCCCTACCTGTTCCCCGACTTAGCCTCGTTCCACACATTCGCTGACCTCATCACGCACCTCCGTACTAGTGGGGCCCGCTTCCGTGCCGCCATGCCCGCTGAGTTCCTTGCCACTCACCCCCCCCCACTCTGGCTCACTCTCTACCACCTAGTCACCCGCCTCCCTGACACACTGCGTGCTGTCAGGGACCACTTCCTAGCTCGCTGCCCCACTGAGCTCACCATTGCCCTCCTCGAGAAGGAACTCCTTGCAGCTGAGGCTAGCATAGTCGTTGTAGGTGCCTCTCGTGGCGACCCCCGTACCCCGTTCTTTGAGGGGTGTTCTCCATCCCCCCTTCTTCCCTCTGTTGCCTCTGCTACTGCTGTCGACCTCCTTGGTGCTGAGAAGGTCGGGACTGCGTCGGCTTCGAGCGGGCGCCGCAGCGGCAAGGGCAAAGGGGGCAAGGGCAGTGGCGGTGACAGCGGGGGAGGCGGTGGTGGGGGAGGTGGCGGCGGTGGGGGTGGTAGCGCGACTGGAGGGGCTAGTGGCAGTGGTGGGGGTGGTGGCGGCAGCGGCGGGGGAGGTGGCCGGGGCGGAGGCGGTGGTGGGGGTGGCGGTGGACGCAGCGGCGGCAGAGGTCGGGGTGGTCGAGGAGGTGGCGGCGGCGGTGGTGGTCGTGGAGGCGCTGGCGGTGGCCAGGGCCAGCAGCACACTCCGTCGCCCCAGGAGGTCCGTGAGTGGTACTCTTAGCACGGGGGGGGTGGGTGGCTTTAGCTGCACGTACGTCATTCGCACTGGTGACCGCACTGGTCAGCCGTGTGGGGGACCGCACGCCACACAGCGCTGCTTCGCTCGTCTCAACGACGCTTGGCGTGTTCAGTTCCCTCAGGCCACTGAGCTGCCCCGCTAGGTTGATCTCCCGAAGAAGGGGGTTGATATCTATGCTCTAGACTTTGATGCTATTCTCACTGCTATGTATGTGATGTCTACTAGTGGAGACGGTGCTGAGTACCTGTGTGTGCCGCCCGACCCAGGCATTAGGACTAGTGCGTTTGCTCCTCCAGGTAGTCGCGTGTCTGCTACCCCCGGTGCTGGTGAGGCAGCTGCTCTAGGTGCTTGTGCGTCTGCCCCCCGTGGTACTGAGTCGACAGCAGCACTGCACACCTTCACACTAAACTCAGGTGCTTCTCGCTGCTTCTTTTGTGACCGCACTGCCCTTGAGCC